TATTAAAACAATTAAAGACCTGAAATATTTCAGTTGGTGTGCAATGAATCTGAAATATATGAAAGTTTCATTTTTATCATTACATTATGGAAAATAATGACCTTTATCACAATATGCTAATTTTTTGACAAAGACCTGTAGTACCACAGCGCCTAATCTCTCGTTAATAAAATTTAATTAATGAAAAAGTAACCGAAACGGTACGCACGTGGACCAAACCAAACATGCTGTACCGAAACGGTTCAATACACTTCCGGCGAGCTGATGGACAGCAGCTCCCTCCGGCTTTCTGCAGTCTTTTATCATCAAACTGACCCGTTTTTCGAACCGGACTAAAGTTGGTCCTCCTTCCAACCGAATTCGGTGTTCAGTGACTCAGAGAGCCGGACGGGACCGTCCAAAAAAAAATAAAAAAATAATAATATTTTGGCCCTGGACCGATCGGCCGCTCCCCCCCCATCGGTCACTCTGAGCGCACCCTGCCGGCCAGGTGACCTCTCGAGCTGGGGAGTCGACGCACGAAGGTCCGGTGTTTTTTCTCTCTCTCTCTGGACCTCAACGAACTCTTATCTGGACCTTTGTGGTTCTACCTGGTTCCGACAAATATCGCCGGGTGGTATTTCGCTGGTTTTCAGCTGGACTGGCCCTCGTGGTGTCTCCATAGGTGTGGGGGAAGTGTACCTGTGACCCTCGAATTGGACCAGAACCGAATCGAGGTGGATGTGGGGAAATTCGTCTTCTACAGAGCCGGTCTCAGCTTCAGTGAGCAGCCCGTTACTTTTACTGAAAGACGATCCACCTCCGTGGAGTCGTTGTGTTCACCTGGAGGAGACGCTCCGGTGCTTTGAAGCACCGCCGGACCGGAGCAGAATCCGCGCTGCCGGGCTGCCGGACCGGAGCAGAACCGCGCTGCCAGACTGGGCCGCCGGACCGGAGCAAAACCGGGCCAGGGATATCTTCAGCCTCTTCGTCTCTCGTGCTTGGAGCGCCGGAGCCGAACTGGAGCAGAACCGGACCGGACCCGTTGCCGACTTCAGCCTCAGCCTCTCCGGTCAGTCTCGTTTTTCACCGGGGGTGCCCCGTGCTGTCGGGTGCTGAGAAGCGGAGGAGCAGCGTGGAGGAGCAGGGCTGCGTGGTGCTCGAGTGAAGTTCGGAGTTTGTATCGGAGCTGCTGCAGGTCTCCATCCAAACTCACCTGGATAATAATTAATTTTATTCCGGATCACGTTGTTGGCCCCTGTTGACCTGAAACGAACTTGGATCATGCCTTTCACTTCAGGAGGATTTTCTGACAGCTCGTTCTGCTATTTGCTGCAAATTTTCTGTTTCTGTTTCGGCCTGTTGATTCTGGACCCAGCTTCTGTTTCTCATGGGAGCATCCATCCATCCATCCATCCTTCTTCACAGGGGGACCGGAGCCCCCCTCAGCCTGACTCAAACTGCAGTTGGGCCACCTCGTCGGGTTTGTTTGCCCATTTCAACTGTGACATTTTATGGTCTGAATCTTTTTTGCATCATTCATATTACTGTCACTATTTTCAGTTCTCAGATTATCTGGAGTCACTGAATCTTGTTAATACACCTGAATCTGTCCATCACTGCAACTTTCACTGTTTTTGGGTTCTGAATGATCACGTCTTCATTAATGTTTCTCATGGTTCTATTATGGGGGATAATTGCCACACTGTTAACTCCTGTAATCACACATCAGTCACAAAAAACTCAAGAAAATGTCTGATAATAATGTTGTTATTGCTCTCAGGTATTCAGCCCAACCCTGGACCCCCCACTAATTACAGCACACCAAATGACTTTAAAAACGCCTCTGGGCTCCATTTTCTGCATGTAAACGCTCGTAGCCTTCTGAAAAAACTTGATGCTGTGAAAATCCTGGTCAGTTCTTCTGGGGCTGATGTTATCTTTATTTCTGAGTCCTGGCTCAACAAATCTGTAATGAATAATGACGTGGCAATCAATGGATTTAACATCTACCGCTGTGATCGTCAAAAAAGGGGGGATGGAGTCATTATTTACATTAGAGATACCCTGGTTTCAAGTCTTGTGACTTCCAAAACAATTCCAAATCAGTTTGAAGCCTTATCTGTAAACATCACCTTGAATGGAGGCCAGGTTTTAACTGTAGTCTGCTGCTATCGCCCACCATCCGCTTCTCCTGAGGCATTAAATGCCATTAAGGAATTCCTTGGTAATTTAAAATTCACAGAGGTCTTTTTAGCTGGAGATCTCAACATTGATTGGTGTAAGTCGACCCCCCTCTGTGACAAATTCAAGGAATGTTGCTTGTCTTTTAATTTAACCCAACTGATCGACTCCCCCACCAGATTAAATAAAAGCCACCCTGACAACTCCTCCATCTTAGACCTGTTTCTAACTAATATGCCTCACAAATTCCCTGGTACAGGTGTATTCGCTGATCTTTTGAGTGATCATTGTGTGACAGCGGCTTTAAGAAATATTAAACTTCCACCTTCTAAGCCCAGATTAATTAAAAAAAGGGATCTGAAACATTTCTGTGAACAGACATTCCTCTGGGATCTGTCTCACTTTGACTGGCATCGTATTCTGTTAACTGATGACGTGAACTCTGCTTGGAACTATTTCCATAATAATTTCATTTATTTCCTGAACTTACATGCTCCTTTTCGTCAGTTCAGAATAAAGGGACGAGACAGCCCCTGGTTTACTCCAGAGCTAGCTGACCTCCTGCACAGGAGAGATCATCTTTGGGCTGCAGCGAGAAAATCTGGCTCAGACACTGATTGGTTGAGTTTCCGACAGATGAGGAATAAATGCACAACTGCTGTTAAAGCAGCAAAACGCAACTATTTCTTATCTCAGACTTCCAAAAATCTAAATGACCCTAACAGATTCTGGAAAACAATTAAATCTCTCTCAGGCACCCCCCAATCATCTGACCTCCCATCACAACTTCTCGTTAACTCTGTTCCTGTGTCAAATAAGCACGAGATCCTGAACTGTTTCAACAAACATTTTGTTGCTTCTGGTTCTTTATTTGACACAGTTACTAACAAAAAATCAGCCACTTCACTTAATAACCAAACTTCTACAAATCAAATCCCTCCTACAAGTCAATCCTCAGTTAATCACACCTTCTCTTTTTCTCCATTCTCAGTCAGTGAGGTCAATAAACTGTTAAAAGATCTTGATCCTAAAAAATCTGCAGGTCCAGATGAACTTCCACCTTACTTCTTAAGGCTGGCTGCTCACATCATCTCAGTCCCTGTGACCCACATCTTCAATCTCTCCATAAGACAAAACTCCATCCCAGACACTTGGAAAACAGCCTTTGTTCTTCCTTTGCTGAAGGGAGGAGACCCCACCTCACTGAACAACTATCGACCAATCTCTAAACTCTGCATTTTAGCCAAGGTTCTAGAAAAACTGATAAACTCTCAAATCAAAAATTACCTGGACTCATTTAACATCTTACCTCCACATCAATCTGGTTTCAGGAAACAACACAGCACAACCACTGCTCCACTGAAGGTTCTTAATGACGTTGTTGAAGCACTGGATGCTAAAGATTATTGTGCTGCACTTTTCTTAGACCTTTCTAAAGCTTTTGACACTGTGGATCATAACATCTTGTGTCATAAACTCTCAGAAATCGGTTTCTCAGATCACACCATTGGTTGGTTCTCTAACTATCTTTCAGACCGGAGGCAATGTGTTCAACATAATGGTACTTTCTCCAGTTATTTAACATTCAACAATGGTGTACCACAAGGCTCAGTCTTAGGACCCACCCTCTTTACAATCTACATACATAATGTAGGTAAAAACATCCCTAATGCATCCATACATTTCTATGCTGACGACACAGTTGTTTATTGTCGAGCTAAAACTGTTGCTAAGGCTTTCCAGCTTTTGAAATCTGCATTCAACATCATCCAGACTGATTTGTTCCGCCTCAAACTTGTCCTAAATGCCGAAAAAACCAAAGGGATGCTTTTTTCAAATAGGAAGTTGGTCCCAGCAGTTCTTCCTCCGATTTTATCCTCAAATGGTGTCCCCATTGAGTTTGTTGATTCCTATAAATATTTGGGTATCTTGGTCGACTCACATCTTTCTTTTAAGCTCCATGTGGAAAACTTGGTAAAGAAACTGAAAGTTAAACTGGGTTTCTTTTTCAGAAACAAATCCTGTCTAACCCTGAATGCTAGAAAACGCCTTGTATCTGTGACTTTCCTTCCCTCAATTGATTTTGGTGATATTATTTACATGAACGCTCCTACAAGAACCCTGCAGATGTTGGATGCTGTCTATCATGGTGCACTAAGATTCATAACTGGCTGTGATTATCGTACCCACCACTGCACCCTGTATTCATTGGTTAACTGGACATCATTAACTTCACGCAGACTCTCTCACTGGTACATTTTCATCTTTAAATCACTTCTTGGTCTGCTGCCTTCATACATCTCCTCCTACATGTCTCTGCGTGAGTGCAGCTACTGAGTGCGCTCTCAGGACATTATTACCTGCAGTGTTCCCTCAGTTAGGACTGAACTAGGCAAAAGGGCCTTCTCCTACTCCGCTCCTGTTTCCTGGAATATCTTACAAAAAGATTTGAAGCTCTCGACCTTGACCTCTCTTAAGTGGCTTTAAGAATCTGTTGGACTCCTGGCGGGGTCCAATGCAGACATGTTCCTGTTTTTAGTTTTATACATTTGTCTTGGAATCTAGCTGTTTTTTTGTTTTGTTACCTTTTTCCTTTTAGCCATCCTATTTGTTAAAAAAAAAAAAAAAAAAAAAACTGTAGTATGAGTTTTTATAACTGCTTATTGTTGTTGCTGTTGTCCATTGTTGTCATCTTTCTTTGTTGAAATCAGGTCTCTCTTGTAAATGAGTCCTCGAGGCTCAATGGGATTTACCTGTATAAATAAAGGTTGATTGATGTACCGTTACAGCCCTAGTATTGATGAAGTTGCAACATTTTTTGGTCTCTCTTACTGTAGAGTCAGTCCAGATGGAGAAGCCTCCAACAGCTCTCGTCACCCAGTCACAGTCATCTTCCTCAAGTTCAGGGAGCTTGAATACATCATCAGCCCCACCTGGATCGTCAGCTTCCACTGTGCCCGTCTCCCCAGTCCTTCAGTCCTCGACTCCAATCCTCCAGGATCCAACTCTGCTTCGCCAGCTTCTCCCAGCCCTTCAGACAGCCCTACAGCTCAACAATGCCAGTGTGGATATGGCAAAAATCAACGAAGGTAAGGGGTTGATTTAAAATTTTCAACATTTTCACAAGCATAAAAAAAAATCAGTGTCTCCCCTACCATTATTCAAGGAGGGTGCCCCATCCTTTCAACAGAACCGAGCGCCCTGCCTACCAAAGCATCCACCGCCCACGCAGCTCCGCTAGCAGCTCAGCTCAGACTCCAAACCACGAGCAATACAAATGTAGTAATCCGTTTCTGTCACATTCACATCTTTGCTATAACCTGGGACATGCAAATATGTGTCTTTTATTAGGGACATACAAATATGTGTCTTTTATTAATATAATTTAATTTTGAGAACTAAAGCAGCAGAAACGTGTCGGAAAGAGGGAGTTGTAGAGAAAGAGGACCAGGAGTTTGGTCACATGAGCAAGTTGCACATGACTGTACAACAATGAGGCTCCGAACACATTAACGTTTAATACAAAGTTATATGTTAAATACAAAAGTCCTGGGAAGTCGGAGCGCAATGTGGGAGGTTTGTAGGCCAGAGCAGGATCTGTTACAGCTGTGCACATGCGTGGTTCATTTGCGACGCGTCTCTCTGCTCTGAGCACTAGGAGACGGAGATGGTCTTACAGCTGAGCTGATGCAATTGGTAACACTGCTTCCACCTGGGCTCACTGTACTGGGCGATATATCAAATATACGCAATGTATCAAGTTTTTCAATTTACAATGGTTCAAATGGCTTTATTGCAACCATCGAGTAAAAGACTTGAAAATCTGTGTCTTTTTTTTCTTCTATCTGCGCCTCCAACTGCATGAGGCCCCTCCTTCTCCCTCTCTGAATACAAACCCAGCCCCTCACCCACTTACATTACCCCCGCTTCCTGCTTCTGCAGGTGGGCTGGAGTTTAACACAACAAGTAAACACAGTAGAAGATATCGAAGATGTTGGGTAATTTCTGTTTGACCTTTTAAAGAAAATAATTTCACACAACAAGGCGAGATGAGTTTTTAGCGCTCAATACCTTTGCAAAGAGGGAGTCACCTGTTTTGTGGGTCAGTGTGAACTCCACCGTTTTGCTGGGTGAGTCTGGTATTTATTAGATAAAAGTGGAGCACGAAAACAGGTCAAGTTTACATGAACAAAATCTTGATCAGGATGATGATCAGAACATTTCAGAGCTTGTACGGATAGTTTCTTGATAAAACATCCACTTGATGTAAAAACAGAGCTTTTCACACACCCACAACAAGATACAAGATTAAATCATAAGAAATAAACTTTTTGTTCAGTACATGTGAAACCAGATATTAATATAATGAGATAGAAACAATTTTAAAATGATAAAATAGAAAAATTCTTAACATTCCCTCCTGTTTATCATTTTAGACTTTTTTATACATTTTAGACATTTTAGAATCATCAATATTAAAACAATTAAAGACCTGAAATATTTCAGTTGGTGTGCAATGAATCTGAAATATATGAAAGTTTCATTTTTATCATTACATTATGGAAAATAATGACCTTTATCACAATATGCTAATTTTTTGAGAAGGACCTGTGTGTGTTTGTGTATATATATATATATATATATATATATATATAATATTTTATACTGGTGGGACTGGGAAAGAGAACAGGCATATCATTTTTGTTACACATTTTCAGTCATCATCTTGGGCCATCTTAGCTAGATGCAAATTGATAAGGATTCCTGTAAAAACTTTCATCATCATGTGTTTCAAAAGAGGTACAATACAGGTTCCGGAGGTGAACCATTCTCAGAGAGAGTTGCCTATCCCTCTGGAGTCTTTAGTTTGTGCACCTTGAAAGGTTCCTTAAGGAGGTCACGGCATCTTCAACGTGGGTGTCATTTTCACCCGGGATATAAATTCATCATTTACTCCTGATGAGAGCAGATGTACCCCCCCCTGAGCTGCAGTTAGTAAATCCAACACCATCCGGTTTTGTAGCACCATCAGCTTCAGCGTGGCGATTTCTTCATTTTGTCCAAGCGGTGGGGCGAGGTTGATGAGAGGGAGAGTTTGTTGTTGCTGTGGTGGATGTGAATTGTACCGTCCGATACCCAGACTGGGGCACACAGATGCCGGTCCAGTGGTGAGGCAAGAAGGGGTACGGACGGTGACCACACAGCCACATGACATCGAGAGTCACTGTTGACACGCTGGAGTTTCTGGACTGTAGGGTTGTGTACCTGAGAAAGTCTATGACGACGTCACAGCCTGTGGTGTTTCCCAGGAAAAGCCCTGGAGTTGTTATGGTCGTCATAGTGATGTTGCCAGTCGCACTGTTGACAGTGAAGTACGTTATGTTTGAAGAAGGAGCGTAGCACAGTGTATACCTTTTGATCTGGTGGTGTAGGTGGGCGGCGTTGATCTGGTTTCCAGTTCAGGCTCTGCAGAGTTGTGTTTTGGTACTCAACGATGTTTTGTCGTGGGCGGGCCAAGGAAAGGTTATAAACACATCTGGATTTGTTTATAGCCATGGGCCATACATGAAAAGTCAGTTGGTGTGAGCTATGTGGCATGGTGGAACAAGTATAACAGCCTTCCTTGGTGTGACTGCCCTTCAGGTGCTGTAGATAAGCCTTCCATAGGTTCCCATCACCATCATGGTCAGGAGGGAGGTTCTGCAGCCAGTCTGCCATGTCATCATGAAGGGGCTGCAGGCCTCTGGAGATGTTGAGATAACATGCTACAGTCACAACACAGCAGAGAATCCACCTGGCATGCGGACTGCCTATCGCTGCTAAGGACTCAGAGTCACCAGACCTGTAGGTCCTAAAAGGGTATGGGTCGTTGCTTGCTTCACAGACATTGAGATGACTGCCCACTATAAGGACAACCCCCTTTGTAGCCTGACTTCCCCTCTACCCAGGTGACCTTAAGGGTCCAGCACCCTCTGAGCCTTACAGTGACCGAGATGAAATCCAGCTGGGTCGTTCAGGGATCTTTACTGCATTAGGCGTGGTCAGCAGTACTTGGAACAGTCCTTCCCAGCGGGGGACGGTCCCAGTTCTTTCTTTTGATCACCTTTATGAAGACTCAATCTCCTGGCTGGATTTGTGATGTTTTCTGTGGAAAAGAGGAAATCAGGAGACGGTGAACTTGCTTCTTTCTCTTGTGAAATGTTTTTGAGTCAGATTAGTCATACCCCCTGTTGACACATAGCAAACACCATGGGTCAGAACAGCGGCAGCTTTAAATAAGGATTTTGGTAAGACTGGTTTGTTGTCTACATGATAAAGCTTTTCCTCATTTAAATGAGCACCTTTTGTTTCCCAAAGTTTTTCATGTCTTGAAATGTATTTCTGAATTGTTAAAATCTGGTTTCATAGAAGCTAAAGCATCTGATCTTATATTTTATTTTACTTTTTAAACTGAAAACATTTCATCTAAAAAAGTTAAATCTGGTCCTCTGGACATTCAAAAAAAAACAAAGCAAAACAACAACAAAAAATGTAGAAACGTTTCTTCTCTCATCCGAGAGACTTCCTCAGTCTGAGGTGCTTTATTCAGCTCAGTCTCTTTAATAGCACCTTCTCAGAGTGGATCAACCAGTTTTGCTGCTGACAACCAAAACAAGCTGATCACATGCTCAAGAAGGACCATCAGCCTAACAATGGATCATTAGCACACTGATGGCTGTTTACCATTCACAGAGGGCTGAGTGATACTAGCAATCACAGCATTGTAAGAGGGGGACAATTGAACATGTAGGCCTCCACCCCTGTTTAATGATGGACAATTTATTTTCACAAAGATGGCCTCCTTTACTCCTCTCAAACCATCGTTCCTCTCTATCCAGGATGTGCACATCTTCATCCCTGAAAGAGTGACCGCTGTCCTGGAGATGAGTGTAGACCGCAGAGTCCTGGCCTGATGATGTTGATCTTCTGTGCTGGGCCATCCTTTTGGCCAGTGGCTGTTTTGTTTCCCCGATGTAAGACTGATCACAGCCCTCCTGACACTGAACAGCATACACAACATTACTCTGTTTGTGCCGGGGGACTAGATCTTTGGGATGAACCAGTCTTTGCCGTAATGTATTTTGGGGTTTAAAAGCCACTGGGACGTTATGTTTAGAAAATAAACGTCTCAGTTTCTCTGATACTCCCTCAACATATGGAATGACCACTGGTCTGGGTCTGGGTTCCTCCTTTTCACCTGATGGCTGACTGGAGTCCTGTTTGGGTTTCTTCTCTGCTTTCAGGAAGGCCCAGTTAGGATATCCACATTGCTCTAGAGCCTGTTTTGTGTAGGATTTCTCCTTCTGCCTGGCTCCCGAGTTAGTGGGGATGCTGTCTGT